ATCTCCTCCAGAACAAAGGTTGACAATCCACCTGGTGGTCAACAGCCTCCGTCGCATAGCTCGCTTGAGGGGAAGAGCCTTGAGGTAGCGTTTGCCAGCTTCATCGCTCAAGTCAACATCTTGCACCAGCATACATCGCTGCGCCTCAGAGAGCTCACCAAACACCGAGTCCTTGGCCATGAGTGCCTTCAGACCCTCTGATCGAGAGCCCGTTCGCCTGTACTCAGCGACTCGTGCTTCATGGCTCACCTCCGCCTCCATGCCAATCATTCTGAGCTGCGTCTGCACGGTGTTCAACTTAAGCTGTTCCAGTTTTCGTGCTTCTATTTCACCAATCAGCTCGAGGGCTTGTGTCTCACCTATGAACGGACAGGAGCCGGACACATGTGTAGATATGACTCCGTGACGTGGATGTAGTACATGTAGTCCGTGCCTGTCCCAACTTACTGTGCACCCGAGCTCCTGCACTAATGTGCCTAACGGCACAATCGTAGTCGCACCCTCCTCCTGAGCTTGGGCACCCTTAGCTGGCATCAATGTACCTGCCCTGTTCTGCTGCAAGGTTATGGCCTTGCCGTCCGCAAGTTGCACTTGAACAGGGTGGAGTTCTTCTTCTCGTTCAGGAAGAAGCCGTCGGAAGGGGTGAGTGGCACCCGAGTCAAGCAATGCTACAGGTTCCAAGTGCTCGCCAAAGGAGGCCATCTGCTTGTCCATCTTGGAGAGCTCCAAGTTGAGCTGCGGCCTAGCGTCCAACATGTTCAACCTGGTCATCCTTTGCAACATAGTGTTCACCTCCTTCATAAACGTTTGAAACTCCGGAGATTGCACCGCATCGCCTTGTCCGCTCATCACCGGCTCCGCTTGCACAACACTCTGGGCCGCCTCGCCGTTTGCCATAGAGCTCGTTGTGGCGGTAGTTGGAGTCGCTGTTGGCGAGGGCGTCGGGGTAGTCGCCTTTGGTTCATGTAGAGGCGGACCTGCAGCAATCGCGGCTGCCTTGGGCCCATTGTTCCCTCCACCCGGCTTGTCCTTGGCATTCTTGGTCCCATCCCGAGTAGGGCACTCTGATTGCCTGTGTTGCTTCGACCCGCACGTCCAACACCGCGAGCGTTTCTCATCTCTGTTGGCAAACTCATGGTGATACTTGCATTGTTGCCCTCGTCGACATCCCGCCTCGCTGAGGAAGAATTTGCACGGAGTGGTAGAAGCCGCCCCTCTTGTGCCCTTGTTCGGGGATGCCGTAGGACTCGAGGTAGAAGAGGCCTCCCCGGTTCCTGCTCCAATGGCCTTGATTCTCGGCGGCTCTGCAGGCTTGGTGGCCCATTTCGCCGGCAAGGCCTGCTGCATTTCCGCAAGAGCATGGTCGTAAAACCTCAGCACAGTCTCGTTGGTGGGGCGGTTCTGCAGTTGGAGCTCGTTTCTTGCTAGGGATAGCCGAAAGCTCATCTCCCCATGCTTCTGCACGCAGGCCGCGATGATGGTCTCAACGCCTCTGAGAAGGATGCTGGGGTCGGGCGCCGTCAATTGCATCTCAGCCGATCGTGTAAGGAAACGACGCCATTTCCGGAGGGCTGCAATCACTTCCGGAATACTCTCCCCCGCTGATGCACCCTCTAAGTGCTTGAGGATGGCCGCTCGCTCTGCTGTGCCTCCTGGGGAATACAGAACATGTAGTCTGTACAAAGCCATGGCCACCGAAGTAACCCTGTGCGTAACAGCATCTTCCTTTACCATTTTCGGCATAGCATTCAGCACCAGGGTCATGACCTTGCGATCCAGTCTCACCCACTTGAGTTCCAGCAGCTCCGGTGCCACCCTTGGGGCGATCGCCAAGCGTTCCAGGGGGCTCGCGATCTGGTAGCGCGCATACGCCTCTCGAGCTGCACCCAAAGTTCTTTCAAACCATAGCGATGCCGAGTCTGACATCGCCCCAATAGCTTGCTCCGCCACATACAGCCAATCGCTGAACTCCACACCTGTGTCGCCACCGAGTTCAGGAAGAGGAGCCAGCTCACTGACACCCTTGAGGTTCTCAGCCTCGCCACTCGTTCGCTTGTCCATGTAAACCTGCTGCAGCTGTCTCATACCCTGAATCAGGAGCTCAAGCGGAGAACCTTGTCCCCCATCCTCGGCCTCGCGCATCCGTGAGTCCTCCAAAGGTCCAAACTGAGGAACTCCTTGCTTCATTGAGCCCCCATTCACTGGATTGCCCCCTTTTACACCGGAGCGATCTGGCAGTCCACTAGCCGCACCACGGGTTGGGCCCTCTGCTCTTCCCCTCAGCCAGGGATTGCTGCCAAATACCGAAGAGCTTCCTTCTTCACCGGGAGGAGCCTCAGGTGGTACGTTAGCACCTCGATCACCACCACGAAGATTACCTCCCGGTTCTAAGCCAGGAGGTTCCCTTAGGGCCTGCAAGGAAGGAGGTCCGCCACCACCACAACCACCCGCCGTCATCACTTCATTCAACAGCTGAGCCGAGGAATGTAAAGCAGTCTTCAGCTCTTCGTTCTGCGCCCTCAAATCTTTCACCTCCGAATCCCTCTCAACCATCGCCTGCTGCACTTGCCTTCTCACTTCTTCCAAAATCAACTCTTGAGGAAGACTGGCAGACGAACTATCATCCCTTTGCCCTTGTCCCTGTCCAACAGGCCTCGTAATCAAACTTGGCTGCGCTGTCCAGCTTGACATAGCTTGTCTGACCTCAGGTGACATCAAAGGTGTTTGGGCAGGAGTGGTAGTAGGAGGGGATTGCCATGGAGTAGTCATAGCTGCTACGGTTCCATGCTCCACCACATTTGCCGAGGAAGACTGGCCCATCATGGGAGCCACAAACCTCCGATGAAGAACCTCGCTGATTCTCATCACCGACCACGAGCCTTGCCCATCAGAGTCGCTTGACTGCACCATTCCAGGACTGAGGGGCGGTGGCGAAGTAGTCGGCGCAAACGGATTTGCTCCATCATCAGAAGAAGGAGTATCCCCTCGAGGTGCACCATGGATTGCACGCTGCGCTCTAGCTTGTACTGCTTGTACAACCGAATCCCGCTGCTGAGACAACTGTTGCACTGCTGACTGTAACGGTCCAGGTAGCACATGCTGGCGTGACTGTCCCTGAGCCGAAGACATAGGAGCCGATTGTCGCTGCTGAGCCTGCTCCGTAGACATAGGAGCCGATTGTCGCTGCTGCACAGGCTCTGAAGACATAGGAGCCGACTGTCGCTGCTGAGCCTGTTCCGAAGACATAGGAGCCGACTGTCGTTGCTGAGCCTGCTGCTGCTGCCGCGGAGGTTGCGCTTGTTGTTGTACGTGAGGCTGCTCCATGTTGTTAGATCTTGTAGGGGCTGTTGCTGCTGCCGTCGTAACGTTCGTCGCGCCCGATCCGGTTCGCACGGCCTGTCCGGTGCCCACATCCGCTGCTTGGTTCCCAGGATTAGGTCCACTGACCCCAGAACTTCCCAAATCATCCTCAGACGGGGGTGGATTCTGTAAGCCCGTTGCCGGACTCACAGAACTCACTCCATTGGGTAGCCTGTCGCTTCCACTGCCCTGAGGCATCTGGCCATCTCCATGGAAACCAGGATTAACAGCACCATACCTCGGTCCTGCAGACTCCCCTTCCAACACTGCATCGCCTTCACGTCGGTGAGCTTGGGCGCTCATAACCTGTTGGGACTCAGGTCCCGAAGATGCATGCCCTTGCGCATACGAAGCCATGCTAATCTTCTCAGTAGCGTTCAGACAGGAGGGCCATGGCAAACGA